TTGACCCTTTAATCATTATATAGTGTTCTTCCTTATCCTTTGTGGTGGGTTTTAAAGTCTATTTTGTCAGAGATTAATACTGCCACTCCTCTTTTTTGAGTGTTGTTTGCTTAATTTTCCCATTCATCCTTTGAGTTTGTGTCTTTAAGGTGTGTCTCTTGTGGGCAGCATATAGACGGATCGTGTTTTTTTATCCATTCTGCCACTGTTCCTTTATTGATGCAATTAGTCCATTTACATTCAGCATAATTATTGATAGGTATGAGTTTGGTGCTGTCATTTTGATGTCTTGTGTGTGTGAGTTGTTGATAGTTTCTTTGTTCCACTTAATTTTCTGTGCTGAGTCATTTTTCTTTATGTATTTCCTTTTCACCTTTTTCATTGTTCTTGATTTTGTACTTGCTGAGTCTTTATATTTTTCATTTTTGATATGCAGAATTGTTAGTTTCCTTTGTGATTGCCTTAATATCTACCCCTATTTTTCTAAGTTTAAACCACTCTTTTACTTCTTTATATCACCTTGACTTCCTCTCCATATGAAAGATCTATGACTACATTTTTTAGTCCCTCTTTTTTGTCATCTTTTACATATTGACATCTCTGTTTCCCTATTTTCAGTGTTTCAGCTTTGATTTATTTGTGTGACTTCCCTAACTGGGTTGATATCTGGTTGTTCTGTCCTATGTTCTAGTCTTGTGTTGTTATCTGATGTTACTGATTTTCTAACTGGAGGACCCCCTTTAGTATTTCTTGTAATTTTGGTTTGGTTTTTGCAAATTCCCTAAGCTTCTGTTTATCTGGAAATGCCCTAATTTCACCATCATATCTGAGAGACAGTTTTGCTGTATATATAATTCTTGGCTGGCAATTTTTTTCCTTCAAGGCTTTCTATATGTCATCCCATTGCCTGCGTGCCTGCATGGTTTCTGCTGAATAGTCCAAGCTTAGTCTTATTCTCTTTTGTAGATGACTTTAGGCTTATCCCTAGCTGCTCTTAAAATTCTCTTTATCTTTGGTTTTAGAAAGGTTGATTATAATATGTCTTGGTGACTTTCTTCGGGATCTACCTTATGTGGGGTTCGATGAGCATTTTGGATAGATATCTTCTCATCTTTCACAATATCAGGAAAGTTTTATGCCAACAAATCTTCAACAATTCTCTCTGTATTTTCTGTTATCCCCTCGTGTTCTGGTACTCCAATCACTCATAGGTTATTCCTCTTGATAAGAGTCCCACATAATTCTCAGAGTTCCTTTATTTTTTAAAATCCTTTTATTTTTCCTCAAACACATTGGTGTGCTTTCTTTAATCTAATTTTGACTTCCACTGCCTCAATTCTGCTCCTATGATTTTCTATTGAATTGTCTAATTCTGAAATTTTATTGTTAACCCTCTGGATTTCTGTTTGGTGTCTCTCTATGGATTCTGTTATATGTGTCATTATGCTCGTCTCTAATCTTAAGTTCCTTTATTGCTTTGTTGGTGTCTTCCTTGGCTTATTCTGTGTTTTGCATGATCTCCTTCCTGATGTTTTGAAGAGTTCTGTATATTAACCTTTTGTATTCTACCTCCAGTAATTCCAGTAAGTTCTCTTCCTCCAAAAGTTTGTTTTGGGAGCTTGCTGAAGCCATCACGGTCTGCCTCTTTATGTGATTTCATATTGACTGTTGTCTCTGAGCCATCAATAAGTTATTGTATTTATTTTGTTTGCTTACTGTGTCGTTGCTTCTTGTTTTGATTTGATATCCCCAATAGGCTGCTTGTGTGAGCTACTTTGATTATTGGTGCGTTTGAAGCTCTAACGTCCTTTCACCAGGTGGTTGGATTTGTTACTAGGTATGTGAGCCCAGGAGTCTGTTTACTTTTCTTGTATGGATTCAGCTCAGGTGCCCATGTAGTCGGTCACCAAGTGTGTGGTGCAGGCTCTCACTACAGTCCTAGACAGGCAGGGGTGACTGCTGTAGGCACAGGTATGTGGCTGTAGAAGGGGTCACACACAGAGCAAGGCAGGGGGCCAACAGCTGCCTGTGTGCCTGGGAGGAAAGCATGCCCCTGTTCCGTAGAGCACGTAGGTGGGTAGGTTTTGCAGCCAGACTATGGGCACCCAATGCTATTGGCTGTAAGGACTTGGAGGCACCACTTATTCTTGGACCCCCACTGCAGGTGGCTAGGTGGTGTGGGTGGAGCCACCAGTCCTCAGGCCCCTGATGTGGGTAGGTGAGGACCCTGCTTAATAGGCAGTGTCAAATGTCACGAACCTGTCACTTCACCATATAGCTGATAGTTCATTAGGCTTCAGGTATATACCCTGTTGTACTAGGGTAATGAGGGCCTACGCTGTTGAAATGGGCCCACAAAGGTCTATGCAGGTGTGAAAAGCATTCAGAGTCTATTGACCCGTTATGCCTGTGCCTAGGCAAAGAAGCTGTGGCTACCCTGAGTTCCTGGCTTAGGGGAGCTAGCAGATTATTTTTTCCTGTTTGTTAATTTTTTTCTCTCTCCAAGGCCGGGAGAATAGCTCAGGGCGCATGATGTGTCCTACTTCTGGCCCAGGGGACCCGGCAATTGCTGAAGCCAACCCAGACCCGGTGCAGAGCAGGGAAGGGGCGGGTAAATGAGAGAAAGGTGTGTTTTTTGATCCAAGCGGTAGGTCAGACGCATGTACTTATCTTTTGCCGACTGAGCACCAGTTTTCACTGGTTCTGGAGGCCCAAGTAGACTCTGCCACTCTGTCTCTCCCAATATGGAAAACGCCTCCAGAGCACCACTGCTTGCCACACTGCGCATGCCAGCAGATCCGGCTCCTGCCAGGTCAGGTCTAGCAACTCCTCGCTGCTTCTGAACGGTCTCTCCCTCTCTCTGACACACAGTCCGATTCCTCAACTTTGCCTTTGATACTCAGGCCTCCTAGATTGTCATATATAATCAATTCACTTGTTTTTTCAGGTGTTTGTTGTGAGAGAGACCACAGGAAGTATCTGAATACTCTGCCGTCTTGGCCCTGGCAGATGTGTAAGATCTTTTAAGGAAAGACCTAGCTTCTTTCCTTAAGCTCCACTATTTTGTTTCATGCCCTTCTCCTCTCTTGCCTGGACTACCACAATTATATCCTGGCAGACTGCTTTGACTCTAGTCTCTCCCTTTTCAATCTTACCTCCACATTCAATTCAGTTTGATATGATTATATTTAATTATGTGCTTATTATGTCCCAGCAATTGGGTTAGGTACTAGAGATGTAAAGGAAGTATGAGTCTAGTATGAGAAACATATGAAAAATGCATGGCTGTATTCAGTGAGATAAATTCTATAAAAGAAGCATGCATCTAAATTATCAGAGTAGAAGAGGAAATGTTTAACCCAGTTTGGGAAGGCAGTTGACATTTCATCAGTTATTATTATGCTAGAACACCTTTTTAAAGCTCATGTCCACTGATTTCATGGGTTGGCTTAAAAAGTTAACAGTGATTTCCCCAGTGCTAATGCATATACTGTTTGAGAAGAAAGAGATGAAAAATTAACTAAAAAACTATTTCCTCATTGGAAAGTATTTTTTCTGGAGTGTGGGGAAAAGGGAGGACACATTCTAAAGGATTTCTTGTCCTTTCCTTACCCTAAAAAATAAAGTTAAAAAGGCATGCAGTTTGAAGTAGAGAGAACCACATAAAACTAGTAAAATGCATTTATTAAAGGTCCTTGCGGCTAAGATAATTAACTTGAAAAGTACATGTAGGTTTCTTAAAACAAAGTTGGATTGGTTGGCCCTAAAGGACATCTTTCTATTTCTAGATAATTTTTTGCTAATGAACTGAAAGACATTTAATCAAAAACAGATAATATCAATGGGACTATTATATTACCCTATTGTATTTTCATTCTTGCTACTGATCTATCAATAAAGCATACTCAGGTAAGCACTTTACATTTTCAAATGCAAGCAGTATGTTGTAATAGAAAAATACTCATTTTACGAGTCAGGACACTTCATTTTCCCTCTCTCTTCACTGTGTGGCCTCAGTTAACAAATGTCTATTATTCTAGCAGGGAAGAAGGAATAGGGACAATTAATTGTAGTCAGTCCATCTATTATTTGTAGGCTGTAGAACTACGATAAAGATGATATGGAACAATCAACATTTCCAAATGTATTTTTCATCTTTCTCTCATAACAGGACCTGAAGGAGACGGGAAAAAAAAAAATACTGCAGGCAAAGGAACACTGTCGATCAGATGGCAGTTACAGGAAATAGGAAGAAATGACTACACTTGAAAGAGAAGAGACTTTACGCTCAGAGAGGTGATGTGGTGCAGTGAGTGGTTAAGTTTGCAGACTCCAGCCAGATCAGGTTAAATTCAAGTCTTTGTATTTTCTTCAACCAGTTGCTGTGGAATCAATTCCAACTCATGGCCACCCTATGTGTGTCAGAACAGAACTGTGCTCCATAGGGTTTTCAGTGCCTGAGTTTTTGGAAGTAGGTCTCCAGGCCTTTCTTCTTAGGTGCCTCTGGGTAGACTTAAAATGTCAACCTTTTAGTTAGCAGCCAAGGGCATTAACCGTTTGCACCACCCAGGGTACTTACCAGATATCTGATTTGGAGCAAATTACTCAACTTCCTCAAATATCATTGCTCCTCATTTAATTGAAAATAATAACTACTAAATACAGCGATCACTCTGATTAAATGACATGCAGATAAAGCTAGTTTAGCAGAGTTTTTGCCAAAAGTAAATGCTCAGTAAATGTAAGCTATTATTATTACTACATTAAAAAATAAATTTATTCTGAGAGCTAGCCCCTTAAGCCTTCAGTATTCCTGTTTTGGGTATGACCAGTCTACAGACTGAAGCATTGCTTTCTTGCCTCCAGTTTAGCTGCCTCTGAGATTGGTGACTGGCAGAAAAAGAAAGGAGCAGGTAGTTAAAGACTAAAGTTAAGATCTTTCTTTGTAAGTGACAAAAATATGTTTCCACCTAAGAGCAGTCTTTTTTAAAGAGCCATACCTTGTACTTTCTGAAGTATTTGTTTTTCAGATTTTAGCATACTCTCCAGGTGTTTAAAGAGATTCACGGTCAGACTAGAATTCCCAGAAACAGATAAAGGCACAATAGTTTGACCATATTGACCCAAATCCATTTGTCTAGTAATCTCATTATCCTGATTTGAAAAACTGTCAACTTTTAAGAGAAAGGTAATGACAGCTAGAAGTCCCAGTATCTGTAGCAACACCAGTTTCCAGCTGCGCCAGCTGAACATTGCCCTCTTTATGAACATGGCACGGAACTGCTGGTGGTAGAGGGACCACTAAAGAAAGAAGAGAGAAATATTACAATAGTTATAGACCTAAACAGGTCATTCCTGTTGAAATCCATTAAGATCAATGCTTTGAAATTTTATCAAAGAAGACATAAAGTTTATATAAATGAACCAACATGATGATAGCATAATCAGTCTTTTGTTTATATAAGACAAGGGTCAACAAACTGTGGCCTGTTTTTGTACACAAAGTTTTACTGGAACACAGGTATGCCCATTCATTTCTGTATTGTATATGGTGGTTTGCACGCTACAGTGGAAGAGCTGAATGACTGTAAGAGAGACCATATGGTCCACAAAGCCTTAACTATCTGCTATCTGTCCCTTTACAGAAAAAGACTGCAGATCCCTGTTGTAAAATATTAAATAAAATGTTTAAGGTCTGGATTTTGATATGAAATACGTAAAATCTCAACAGGATTATCTTCCTCATTAATAGTAGTGTATTATCTATGGCCAGAACAACAAAATCACATCCATTTCTCTTGTGATCTTTGTTTTTTTTTTTTTTTTCTTTCATTTCCTAAGGGAAATGTTCCAATACATTTTGGAGATAAACACACACACACACACACAGAGCACATAATGTTTTCACTGCCAGATTTCAAGATATTTGACCAGGTTCAAAGTGAGAAAATGTCCTTACTCTGATTAAGGAATTCCTCTGAATGAGGGAGAATTTTTCTATGTGCTTCATACTGTCTTAAAAGCAGAAGAGAGTTCTTTACAGCTTTTACAAATATGGGCTATTGGAAATAACTTTAAAATATAAGAATATGCTAATTCAAGGATCAGAAATCTTTCTAAGGTAGCCTGCCAAATCTTCTTTCATCTGCATTTTTTGTGAAAGGGTAAATAGGGAAAAATAGAAATGTACATACATGGGAAAGTCACATTTGTTAATCATCTGATACAAGCAAAAACTGATTTTTTAGGTGTTATTAAAATCCAAAGTTCCATAGCTAATAAATGCTGGGAAAAAAAATTCTAACTCAGTTCTGTCTGGATCCAAATCTTCGTACAATACCACACTGCTTCTCAGCTGGTTCATCCTACCCTCAGTTATAAGTATTCATGGGGACACTCGAAAGAAATGTAGCCTATATTTCAGACTCTCCATAGTCAACAAAACCAGGGTGATTTATAAGGGGAATAGATAACTTAGAAGGAGAATGAAAGAAATGCCTGGCAACTTAGAGAGACTTATGAGGATGATCATACTGATTTGAAAACAATCCTTTAGGTAGTAAAAATTCTCATTAAAAAAACATAAAATATTCTTGATTATTAAAAATCAGCTTCACTACTGCACTTAATCAAGCTTCAATGAACTAGCAACTTTCTGGGTTACCAATTGAAAAATGAATTCTAAAACAGAAAAAAAGAACCCTGAGGAATAACAGCGGTTGAGAGTAACAGCTGATATCTTTATCTAGAACCCATCACTTCTGCATTAGGAAATTAATTAGGTGTAGAACAGACTGTTCCACATACGGCTGGGTCTGCTATCATCAAGAACTCCACACTTCTTCAAGTATTAAAATAAAATGTACTTCTTATGCCCCAACCAAATATGCATCACATTTCTTAGTGAAAGTGCTTACCCCAGTATTAAATTTAATAGTAGAGCTTTCATTAAGGATGGCACGATCTACTGTCTCAAAATTTATGGATGTATTCACATTCTGGTTTTTCTTTAGGAATTTGTTCATCTGGAAGGGAGGCTGGATCGCGTTCGTATCTTGTGAATCTGCCACATGACTGACCCTATGTCAAAAAAAAGCACAAAGCATTTCATTTCAACACTACTCCAATATATTTTGTTTGGAGAATATGAGTCACAGCCTTCAACTCAGAAGGTTACCTGATTTTCTCATTGGCTGGCAGGGGCATTATATGGAGGCAACATGGTAACTACGGTAGAGCAGTGGTTTCCAAACACCAGAGAACTACTGGATGTTTGGGGTAAAGTGAGAAAAACAAGGACAATGCAATGAATGTTTCATTAAGTTGAACTCATTCAAATTAAAGACTAACATCTAATTCCTGTTTTGGGATAAATTAAAATATCCATTCTTTTATGAAATGATGGGATAATTTTAAAGTTATGTTAAGCCACTTCCCCTTAAATTTTCTTTTTTATAAATTGTACTTTAGACGAAAGTTTACAGAGCAAATTAGTTTCTCATTAAGCAATTAATACACACATTGTTTTGTGACTCTGGTTGACAACCCCACATGTGAACACTCTCCCCTTCTCGACCTTGGGTTCCCCATTATCAACCTTCTTGTCCCATCTTGCAATCTCATCCTTGCCCCTGGGCTGGTGTGTCCATTTAGTCTCATTTTGTTTTATACACCTGTCTAATCTTTGGCTGAAGAGTGAACCTCGGGAATGACTTCAGCACTGAGTTAAAAGGGTGTGCAGCGGCCATACTCTCAGGGTTTCTCCAGTCTCTGTCAGACCAGTAAGTCTGGTCATTTCTTGTGAGTTAGAATTTTGTTCCACATACTTCTCCGGCTCTGTCGGGGACCCTCTATTGTGATCCCTATCAGAGCAGACAGTGGTGGTAGCTGGGCACCATCTAGTTGTGCTGGACTCAGTCTGGTGGACGCTGTGGTAGTTGTGGTCCGTTAGTCCTTTGGACTAATCTTTCACTTGTGTCTTTGGTTTTCTTCATTCTCCCTTGCTCCAGATGGGGTGAGACTGGTGGAGTATCTTAGATGGCTGCTCACAAGCTTTTGAGATCCAGATGCTACTCACCAAAGTAGGATGTAGAACATTTTCTTTATAAACTATGTTATGCCAATTGAGCTAGATGTCCCTCAAGACCACGGTCCCCATCCCTCAGCTGAGCAATTCAGTCCCTCAGGGAGTTAAGATGTGTCTATGGAGCTTTCATGACCTTGCCTTGTACAAGTTGTGCCGGCTTCCCCAGTATTGTGTACTGTCTTACCCTTCACCAAAGTTACCACTTACCTACTGTCTATTTAGTGTTTTTCCATCCCCACCTCTCCCCTTTCTCTTAACTATCAAAGATTGTTTCTTTTTGTGTGTAAACCTTTTAATTAGTTTTTACAGTAGTGGTCTCATACAATATTTGACCTTTTGTGATTCACTTATTTCACTCAGCATAATGCCCTCCAGATTCATCCATGTTGTGAGATGCTTTGCAGATTCATCATTGTTAATCATTGCATAGTACTCCATTGTATGTATGTACCATGGTTTGTTTACCCATTCATCTGTTGATGGGCATCTCAGTTGTTTCCATAACTTTTTGCTGTTGTGAACAAAGCTGCAGCGAACACGGGTGTGCATATGTCTACTCATGTGACGGCTCTTATTTTTCTAGGATACACTTAGGAGTGGAATTGCTGGATCATATGGTATTTCTACTTCTAGCTTTCTAAAGAAGTGCCATATCTTTTTCCAGAACAGTTGTACCATTTTGCATTCCCATCAGTAATGCTTAAGAGTTCCAATTTCCCTGCAGCCTCTCCAACATGTTATTTTGTTTTTTTGATTACTGCCTATAATGTCAGGATGAGATGGTATCTCATTGTAGTTTTGATTTGCATTTCTCGAATGGCTAGTGATCGCGAGCATTTCCTCATGTGTCTGGTAGCCCCTTGAATGTCTTTTTTGGTGAAGTGTCTGTTCATATCCTTTGTCTATTGTTAAACTGGATTGTCTTTTTGTTGTAGAGGTGTTGAATTTTCCTGTAGATTTTAAATATTAGACCTTTGTCAGATTTGTCATAGCTAAAATTTTTTTCCCCATCTGTAGGTTCTCTTTACTCTTTTGGTGAAGTCTTTTGATGAGCATAAGTATTTAATTTTTAGAAGATTATCTTCTGAAGTTTATCTTCTGGTGTTTGTGTATTTGTATGGTCTGTATCCTGTTTATGCCATGTATTAGGGCCTCCAGAATTGACCCTATTTTTTCTTCTATGGTCTTTATAGTTTTTGGTTTTATGTTTCTTTGATCCACTTTGAGTTAGCTGTGTATGGTGTGAGGTATGGGTCCTGTTGTCTTTGCCTGGTTTTGGTATCAGGGTTATGCTGGCTTCATAGAATGAATTTGGAAGTATCCCTTCCTTTACTATGTTATGAAATAGTTTGAGTAGTACTGGTGCAAGCTCTTCTCTGAAGGTTTGGTAGAATTCTCTAGTGAAGCCATCTGGGCTAGGGCTTTTTTTGTTGGGAGTCCTTTCATTACCTTTTCAATCTCTTCTCTTGTTATTGGTCTGTTCAGATTTTCAAACTTCAGTTTGTGTTTGGGTAGGTAATGTGTTTCTAGAAATTTGTCCATTTCCTCTAGGTTTTCAAATTTGTATAGTATAGTTTTTCACAGTACTCTGTTATGATCCGTTTTATTTCAGTTGGGTCTGTTGTAATGTCCCCCATTTCATTTCTTGGGTTATTTACCTCCTCTCCTTTTTTGTCAGTTTGCCAGTGGTTTGTCGATTTTGTTGATCTTTTCAAAGAACCAACTTTTGGTTTTCTTGATTCTTTCTACTGTTTTTCTATTCTCTATTTCATTTACCTCTGCTCTGATCTTTATTATTTCCTTTCTCCTCGTGGCTGTGGGCTTCTTTTGCTGTTCTTTTTCCATTTGTTTGGGTTGTGTAGCTAATGTTTTGATTTTGTCTTTTTTTTCTTTTTTGATGGGTGCATCTATTGCTATAAATTGACCTCTGATCACTGCCTTTGCTGTGTCCCAAAGGTTTTGGTATGATGTGTTTTCATTCTCATTTGATTCCAAGAATTTTTTGATTGCATCTTTGAATTTTTCTATTACCCAGTGGTTTTAAGTAGGGTGTTATTCAGTTTCAGTGTATTTGATTTTCCATGTATTTGATTTTTTTTTTCCTTGCTCTTGTTATTAATTTCTACTTTGATGGCATTGTGATCAGAGAAGATGCTTTGTATTATCTTAATGTTTTAGATTTTGTTGAAGGTTGCTTTGTGGCCTAAGATGTGGTCTATTCTGGAAAGCATTCCATATGTGTTGGAAAAGAATGTGTGCTCTGCAGCTGTTGGGTGTTCTATATATATCTATGAGGTCAAGCTGGTTGATTGTGGCCTTTAGATCTTCCATATCTTTGCTGAGTTTCTTTCTAGATGCTATGTCCTTTACCGAGAGTGGTGTGTTGAAGTCTCCTACCATTATTGTGGAACTGTCAATTTCTCTTTTCAGTGCTATTAGAGTTTACGTATTTTGGTGCCCTGTCATTGGGTGCATAGATATTTATTATGGTTATGTCCTCACGGTAGATTGTGCCTTTAATCATTATATAATGCCCTTGTCTTTTATGGTAGATTTTGTTTTAAAGTCTATTTTATCTGAGATTAGTATTGCCACTCCTGCTCTTTTTTGATTGCTGTTTGCTTGATCTATTTTTTTCCATTCTTTGATTTGTAATATATTTATGCCTTTGTTTCTAAGGTGTGTCTCTTGTAGATAGCGTATTGACGAGTCCTGTTTTTTAATCCATTCTGTCATTCTCTGTCTCTTTATGGGTGCATTTAAGCCATTTACATTCAGTGTGATTATTGATACGTGTGACTTTAGTGCTGTCTTTTGTAGTGCTTTTTTTTGCGGTGCTGACGTTTTCCTTGTTCCTCTCACTCTCCTGTGCTGAATTCCTTTTGTTTGTGGATTTTTTTCATTTCTTTTGTTTTTGTTGATTTTGTGTGAGACTGTTTTTCTTATTTTGATAAGTAGGTTTGTTAACTTTGTGTTACCTTGAAAAGTACCTCTATCTTCCTAAGTTTGAAACAGTCTTTTATTACGCGATATTTCCTTGATTTCCTCTCTATTTGAAAGTTCTGTACCTACACTGCTTATTCCCTCTTTTATTTTTTCTCACATTGTTATCATTTACAGATTGATCTCTCTGGTTCCCTGTTGTAATCTTTTAGTTTTATCACTGAGATTCCATTTGGTGCTTAGTTGGGCTCTTTATCCCTTCATTTGGTGCTTAGGGCTCCAGGATTGACATTTGTATCTGTTTTACTTAGTTTCTCAGGTCTTTGCTGCAGAGGGATGGCATAGTGCTTCTGTCTACAGCGCCATGCTGCCCTTAAATTTTTTAATGTGTGAAATCTGAAAATTTGGTGAGCTTAGAAAGGGCAATTAAATGTTGTCCTTGCCTTCCAGAGTTTTTCTTTTTCCCATGCATCATTACTCACCTAAGAAAGACTTCTTCCATGGTAGTGACAGAAGCACCAAAGCTAGCAATGCCCAGCTCTTTCTGTCTTTCTTCCAGATCAGTAAACAAAACTTGAAACCTAGATGAAGAAGGAAAGGAAGAGAAAAACTAGCACTAATATATTACTTTCATACTTATATATATTTTTTATTCTAAACTGATTTCCCCTGAGCAGTGGGAAAAATACAGACCATTCTTTACCACAATGTTTATTATAGTTTCTATGCCTCTGGTAAATCAGAAATGTGGGAGAAATAAAAAGGAACTATCAAATTGCTATAACAACTTGCTTTCCACTCTACTTAGTTCTTGGATATACATAATTTTGGTCTTCTAATAAGAATACAAAAGACTCTATATGTTAATAACCCTAGCTAGTTGATATGAGTTAACCTATTACACATATATATGCTATAGTTCACTGAGCCCTGGTGGCACAGTGGTTAAATGCTCAGCTGCTAACAACCGAAAGGGCTGCTGTTAAAACCTGCCAGATGCTCTGCATGAGCAAGATGTAGCAGTCTGCTTCCGTAGAGATTACAGCCTTGGAAACCCTATGGGGCAGTTCTATTCTGTCCTGAAGGGTTGCTATGAGTCAGAACTGACAGCATACAACAACAATATGCTATGGTTCCTATTATTCAGTAAATCAAAAAAGAAAATCATCCTCAGATTGTTAAGAAGAAAAGATACTCAAAAATAGAAAATGGAATAGATGCAGTAGAAGCCGAAGACTTAAGAGACAGCTGTATAATTAAATAGCCAGAGAAGATCTATGGTAGTTGAGCAGATGTGATGTGAAGACATCAAGTCTTTTAAAGAATAATTTTCCAGGAAAGATTTTCAAGTGTATCAGGTTCAGAAGATTATCTTTTCCAGAAACCTCCAGTTCTCAAAAACCATCTCTATCACATTCCCACTGAGGGGCAACTGAACCTATTTTTGAACACCCTCAGTGTTGGGGGATCTCAAAATTCCCTCTTTGGGAAGATCTGTCAAAATTTCCTCCTTATTTGAGTTGAAATTGTTTCCTATCCATCTAGCTTTGCACATTAGTTCTAATCTTACAATTTAGAATTACATAGAAGAGATATAATCCACCTAAATGACAACCCTTCACACGTTTTAATTCCATTTTCCCCTCTGCTGCTTCATTCCTAATGAATGACTTTCCAAGTATGCTTAACCCAAATTTTCTTTTACTTTAGTTATTCAGTAATTACTATGTGTGTATTGTACAAAATACAGAAAATAAATTTATGAAGAAAATAAAAACCACCATAATACCATCCCCATAAATAACTACTGTTAATACACCAATGGTTTGGCATATTTACCTATTTTGTTTCTTTTGGCTTTACACAATATATGATAAAATTATAATTAAACTGTGTGATGCTATAAAATGCATTAATACAGCACAAATTATGAGATGAAGGAATGACAGAAAAGATGGAAATAAAATCTAAATTTCTCCATAGTCATTTTTAGAATGAAGACGTCCTAATACAGAAAGTTGTCCAAGAAATGCTGTTAAGTGAACAAAGCAAGATTCAGAAAATTATTATGGTTTCGGATTCCAGTTCTATGAAATTAATTACAGTAGTTCCCCCTTATCTGTGGTTTCACTTTCACGGTTTCAGTTATCCACTGTCAAACACGGTCTGAAAATGTTAAATAAGAAATGTTGCACTGTCCCACTCCGTCCTGCCCTGAGGCCACATTCACTTAATTTTTATTACAATATATTGTTATAATTGTTCTACTTTATTATTAGTTACTGTTGTTCATCTTTTACTGTGTCTAATTTATAAATTAAACTTTATCATAGATACGTATGTATAGTACAAAACACAGTATATATAAGGTTCAGTACTATTCGTGGTTTCAGGCATCCAAGGGGGTCTTGGAAAATATCCTTAGCAGATAAGGGGAGACTACTGTATTACTGCTGTACACACATTAATAGATGCATTTAATAATCATGAAAAACAGACACCAAACTCTTCTCAGTGATTATTTCTATAGGGTGCAATCATGGTACACTTTGATTTTCTAATTTATGTGCTTCAGAAATGAGTACACATTTTCCTTTAATTTTGTCATAACGTACTCATACATAGATTTATCAGCATTTTAGGGAAAAAGTAATTAATAAACAAAACAAAATAATAATAATAATAGGTAAATAAAAAAATTTATTTTATAAGCCAGTCATAATATGAGGAAAATATGGGTTTTTCATATCACATAAATTTTATTATATAACTTTTTAAGGAGTGGAATACAAAAAAACATAGAAAGGAAAAAAAAATAATCTCACAACCCTGAGTATACCCATTAGTATATGATGTACTTCCTTCCATCCATTACATATATTTTTTAATTTAGTTTTTTTCTTGTTTATTGAGGTTTAACATATATAACCCATTGTCACTGAGGTGATTCTGACTCATATTGATCCTACAGGACAAAGCAGAACTGCCCAAAGGGTTTTCAAGTCTGTAATCTTTATGGAAGCAGACTGTCACATCTTTCTCCCATTGAGCAGCTCATGGGTTCCAACTGCTGACCTTTCGGTTACCAGCCAAGCTCTTAACCACTGCACGAGTGAATTTTTACCTATGTATATACCTGGATAACCCCCATCAAAATAAGATGGACAACATTTCCAGCTCTCAGCAGGTAACTCATGACCCTTCCCAGTCAATAAGCTTCTACACTACACACATGTGCACACACACACCTGTGATAACAATTATTTTAGAGTTCTATAACCAAAGATTTGGTGTGTCTTTTCTTGAACTTCCTATAAATGGAATTCGACAGTCTGTACTTTTTCACCCAACACGATGTCTGTGAGAGTCATTCATGTTGTTGCATGTACCAGTACTTCCTTCTTTCTTATTACTGAATAATATTAATCCATTCTCTAAAATGTTGTTGTTGCTAGGTGCTGTCAAGTCAGTTCCTACTTATAGCAACCCTACATACAACAGAACGAAACACTGCCGGGTCCCGTGTCATCCTCACAATCGTTGCTATGTTTGAGCCCATCGTTGCAGCCACTGTGTCAATCAACCTCGTTGAGGGTGTTGCTCTTTTTTGCTGATCCTCTACTTTACCAAGCATGATATCCTTCTCCAGGAACCGGTCCCTCCTGATAACATGTCCAAAGTACGTAAGACAAAGTTTTGTCATATTCCCTTCTAAGGAGCATTCTGGCTGTACGTCTTCCAAAACAGCTTTGTTCATTCTTCTGGCAGTCCATGGTATATTCAAAATTCTTTGCCAACACCATAATCCAAACGCATCAACTCTTCTTCGGTCTTCTTTATTCACTGTCCAACTTTCACAAGCATATGAGGCAACTGAAAATACCATGGCTTGGGGCAGGTACACCTTAGTCCTCAAGGTGGTATCTTTGTGTTTTAACACTTAAAAGAGTTCTTTTGCAGCAGATATGCCCAGTGTAATACGTCATTTGATTTCCTGACTGCTGCTTCCATGGGCATTGACTATGGATTCAAGCAAAATGAAATCCTTGACAACTTCAGTGTTTTCTCTGTTTATCATGATGTTGCTTACTGGTCCTGTTGTGAGGATATCTGTTTTTTTTATGTTGAGGTGTAATTCATACTAAAGGCTACAGTCTTTGATCTTCATCAGTAAGTGCTTCAAGTCCTCTTCACTTTCACCAAGCAAGGCTGTGTCATCTGCATATTGTATGTTGCTAATAAGTCTTCTTCCAATCCTGATGCCACATTCTTTATATAGTCCAGCTTCTCAGATTATTTGCTCAGCATACATGCTGAATAAGCATGATGAAAGGATACAATGCTCTAAAATACCTAGGAATATATCTAATCAGGGACATAAAGGATTTCTACAATTAAAAAAAAAAAAAAACTCTGAACAAGATTAAAGAAGACTTAAATAAATGGAAAGATGGTCTATGTTCACGGATCGGAAGACTTAATATTGTTAAGATATCAATACCACCCAAAGTGATCTAGAGATTCAATGCAATCCCCAATCAAAATTCCAGCATCCTTCTTTACAGAAACAGAAACACCAATCCTCAACTTTATATCAAATGCCAAGAGGCCTCAAATAGCTAACGTAATGCTGAAAGAGAAGAACAAAGTAGGAGGACTCACACTTCCTTATTTTGAAACTTACCATATAGATACAGTAATTAAAACAGGCTAGTGCTGGTAAAACAACAGAAGCAGACCAATGGAATAGAACTGAGAGTCCAGAAATAAACCCAAACATCTATGGTCAACTGTTTTCTGACAAGGGTGCTAAGTCCATTTGATGAGGAAAGAAGAGTCGCTTCATAAGCAGTGTTGGGAAAATTGGGTTTCCACATGCAGAAAAATGAAACAGGACACATGCTTCACACCATACACAAAGATAAATTTAAAATTGATTAAGGACCTAAATGTGAAATCTAAAAACCATACAATTCTTAGAAGAAAATGAAAGGGCAACACTGTCAGGCCTAGCTTTTAACAATGGATTATCTAATATAATAACAAAGCACAAACAGCAAAAGACAAAATAAATAAATAGGGCCTCATAAAAATTAAAAACTTTTGTTCATCAGAAGAATTTAAAAGTGAAAAGACAAGCTACTGACTGGGAAAGTATCTTCAGAAACCATATATCCAATAAGAATGCAAAATGGTACAGTCATTGTAGAAAACAGTGTGGCAGTCCCCCAAAATACTAAAAATAGAACTGCTATACTAACCCAGCAATTCTACTCCTAGGTATATACCCAAAAGACTTTAAAGCAGAGACTCAGAGACTTGTACACCAATGTTCACTGTAGCACTATTCACAATAGACAAAAGGTAGAAACAACCCATATGCCCATCAGTAGATGAATGGATAAACAAAATGTGGTACATATATACAATGGAATACTACTCAGCCAGTAAGAGAAATGAAGTCTTGCTACACGCTTCAAAATGGATGGAGCTTGAAGACATTATGCTGAGTTAAATAAGTCAGTCACAAAAGAACAAATATTGTACGACTTCACTTATATAAAAAGAGAAGAAAAGGTAA